CTTATGTTTCATATTGGCTACAATCTTGGGTTTTTTATTGATTCGGCGTTATGCATAAATTATGCTGCAAATATTTTACATTTAAAGGATTGAAAAAATTCCATGAAAACAAAAAATATTACAATTTGTTTTGTGTTATTTGAAAAGTATTTAGGTTGATAGATTGTTTTCTTTAATGGTATTTGAGGATATCGTTACTAGAATACTGGCGGAGTAAAAACCGGCTGATAGGAGCAAATAGCAGCCAGGACAATATTTCTATTTATCTCATTTTTAAAGATATGTGCTTTTTATTAAATTATTGATTAAACGTTATTCAAAACAAATTAAATTAGTAATAACAATGGAATAAAATTTATAAGGTTTACCCTTTTTAATAAAATAGCTAAAAATGTAATATTATTTAAGTATAGCAATATTATTGTATTTCAAATACTTTGAATACAATTATATACAAATATAGATATCTTTGATTACACAGCATTTGTAATGAATCTATTAATTACAAAATACAATGATAACATTTTATTGAAAATTTTTACAATTAAAAAAAATATTTTTATTTCGAATTTCATTAGTTTCTGCTAAATAATTACAATATAATGTATTTAATATGACAACCAATCCTCGTGATAATAATTACAATAAATTATAACTCTGAAACCTGTGTGTAATTCATGAGGGAAAAAAGTTGTAAATGTTGAGATATCGATGATGAAACATAAATATTAATTTAAAAATAAAATATGAAAGAATAATAAATTCTTTACAAAGGGTGTGTCCCTTTGGAATGTTTTACAATATATTAAATATTTCAATCTGTTTGAAGTTTGAAAAATATACTCATATTTGCAAAGTCCTGTTAATCATTTACTTTTAATACCTTTAAGTATGAACAAATTTAAAGTGTAAAAAAGACACAACGCACAGCAGTAGAACCACAGACAGGAGGAGCAATGCAATGGCACTCATTTGTATGCACCCCAAGTGGCACGTAATGCTCTTGTATGTGGTTACTAGTCGGCTCCCAGTTGGCTGCTCCGGTATATTTGTTAACTTGAAAATGCAATATGTTGCATTGAAGCAACACAAAGAAAAACCATTTGTATTGACGTAAAAAATGCCGGTAATTTCACACACAATTGGCTATAGCAAAATATGTTGTAGTTGGAATGGATTGCAGTGACTGGAGTGGTTGCCACCAGTCTCAATATCATAATGAATATGAAACCTATTGTTGTAAATGTTTTTGAAATATCACTTTCGCCTTATCTATTAAATATTTAATGTTTTAACAATTCTTTAAATTTTTAATGCAGAAATAGATTTGTTGAAAATATATTGGTTTTTAATTTATTTTATTTAAATATAATTTAAAAAATACAGAATATTTTAAATATTGTTCCTAAAAGAAATCTGTAAGCAATGAAAAGTGGTGAAATAGACATCAAAGGGTTAATTTCTAAAAAAGATTTTAAAAATGTTTTAAAAAAGATTTAAAAAAGGTTACAATAAGCTAATAAAATAAGTTAAAATTTAGTTGTTGTAGATCAAGTATAACCCTTTTTTCTCGTCTTTGCTATTGCTACGGAGTAGCATGACGATGAAATAGAGGGTTGCTATATTTAATTCAAAATTTTACTGATAAACAGGTTTTCATACTTTACCATAAAAAGAATCTACAAATAAGTTTTTCCTTATAACTAAATTGCTAAAATTAACTTACATTAAATGCTGCATAGTAGATTAGTTACTAGATAATAAATAGCAATAATTTTCGCAAACCTGCCATAGCAAGATATACTAGGTATTATTATTATTCCCTGTAAAAATCTTGCATTCCACTTCGACACTTCGATTTTATACATTATTCCAAATTTTTATTACAAATAAGTTTACTTTTTATTTTAAATATTTTATTCCAATATAATAATTTTAACAATATTACATTAACAATATAAATAATTTTATATAGTTTACAAATATTTTTCTTTTTGAAAATCATTGATAATAATTTGTAAATATTTATTATATTTATATTTGTTTTCTTCTCAAGTTTTCGCATCTTAAATTTCAATTAATTTTTTTTTAATTATGTTAATGATCAAATAACGAGAAAAAAAATCATGCAGTAAAGCTCAAATTGCTTTATGGTATAACCTACTTAATATGCAAAACAAAATTTATGGCTTACAACATATTAATTAATAAAATAACGAGGGTTTAAACCGAAATAATTTTTGTTTTTATTATTCCTTACATATTATGAAAATGTATATTTCATGTTAATTTTTCCAAATATTAAACTTTTTATTAATTCATTATTCAAAAATATTTCAATATTACATTTCACCCATTTATTTCCCATCAGTTTCTTATGGCATTCATATATAAATCAATATGATGAGCAACATATTTGGAACATTTTTCAAAAGCTTACCTTGAAAGCAGTTATAAAAGATTTCCTTAATTAGAGTGAAAATGAAGTGTAAATCCCAAACGTACTTAGCGTAAGCGCACACCATTTCAATCCATAATGGCGTCCATATCCGCTTTGCACGCCATTTTTGTACGCGTGCACAAATGTATATTTTCCACAACCCAAACTGGAATGCACAAAAGAAGAAAAAACTCTTGAAAGAGAAAATTATTGCAAAAAGAAACAAACAAAAATGTAAATAAAATAAATAAATACACAAAAAAAATATAAATATAAAAGAAATAATTTTATATAATTGTTCCGTGAAAGAAATGGCATTCATTAAACCATTTTCATTGTTTCACTTTTGTTTTCTATGTTTTTTTTAGTTTGGATTTGCTTTCCTTGTTGTTGTTGTTATCCGTTTCACTGTTACTTTACATACTCGTACTGTGCATGTGTTAAAAGTGCACAAAGCAGTGCTACCAATTTAATGGTAAGGACAAAGGAAAGTGCGGAAGCTGTGCTGTGCTGCAGCATGGCAAAGTGTATAAAACGGTTTCTTCCATTCTGTTTTGGTGCTTTTTACAACACTGCTACAGCACTGCTACAACACTGCTTTCTGCTTGTACACAGCGAATGCTGTGGTGTTCCCATTTTGTTGGACGTATACGTATTTGCTTAAACTGCTCGAAATGGGGTAACCATTTTATTCCATTGTTGCAGTTTTTTGTACAATTTAAAGCTTAGCTTTGCTTGCATTGCTGCTGTGCAAATGTGAAAAGCAACAGTGCGAATTAATACTGACATCCTCAAGGGTATTTCGGAAAAACAATGCACTGAGTATAAGTATAAGATTACATATATACGACGGGTGTATAACAAAGATATGGAAGATAAATACATAAGCACAGAAGGTACACAAATGCAGGATATTGTGGTTAATATGAAAATAAAATAAACTTTAAATGCAGGATATTACAAGTTAACGAAGCGACTTATTTAATTACGTTGTACAATACGGCGTAGAAACAAATGCACAAGTATGGGCGAAACGCGTTTGGTTTCAATTCGCATCCTTAGAGTATTCTTTAGTGCTTTAATGCTTATTAAAAAATGGAATTGAAATATGAGTACAATTTTAATAATATTGAGAATTTCACTAATTCCATGGAATGACAATGAAATTACTACATTCCTTTTCATTGATGTTTTCGTTAAGCAGGACTTGTTATCATTCTTGATAAATGAAATAAAATATTCTTGTAAGTTTTTATAAATGTTGGCAATAAATCTGAAAGTATAATGGACGCAAAGATTAATTAAAAGAATTCAGGAATTTAATCTTTAAGATTTGCATTTTCATTAGTAGAAATGGTAAGATTTGTATTTGTTGACATAAACTAATTTTTCTGCAAATTTAGTATTTCCTTAAATCGACACAATTTCATATCGGTCTTCATCCTCTATCTCATTAGAAACCAACAATGAATATTACCATCTTTTTGCAATGTTAAATTTCAAATATTAGTTATATTGATAATTAATATGCTTGTCCTTATCAATGTAAGCCAATATTTATATAATGGAACCAAGGTGCTAGGTGCATAAAACCACAGAATAAAATGAAGGACATAATTGTTACTTCATAAAGGGGATTAGATATATGTATTTATGTCATTATAAGAATAGTAGAAACTGTTGCATAGGGAAGGATAAGTTAGTTTGTCGTAGCTGATGATATTGCATACAAATAATTCAACTCAAAAAATACTCATTACCATAACATGCAATATCTATCTTATGATGCTTCTTACGACTCTTGTAATCAGCATTTCAGTATGCACACATCAACTCTTAAGTTTAATATTGGCATTTATTCTTATTCCCAAGTATAACATTCTAAAGTATTAAACGTTAAGTTAAAAGAGTTTCCATTTTATTATTATTTTGATTAAAAATACTTAATGTAAATCAAAGTGAATTTTTAAAATTTTTACCTTTGATTAAACTTTGTTTACTAATATAACTCAATGCACTCTTATATATTTAACGCATATTAGACTAATGTTTCTTTAAGTTTAAATCTAAATTTTTCTTGAAAAAAGTACAAATTGTTGTTGTTGTATATCCTTAAGCATAAAATCCTACTTCAGCATTGTGTATTACGTGTTGTGTGACATACAACGTGCTTAATGCAGTTTACAGCATTTTGCAACACTGTTCAATACAAAGTAAGTGCAATTACAATGCTTTGCTTTTAAGAAGCTGTTGGACTACATGATTTGCTTTTGTTAAATATTTTGGACAAGAATCGTCACTTAAGATACACAAGTACATAATTGAAATTTTCCAAAATCACAGAAATACCTATTGACCAAAATCGGATTAATATGAAGAAAACGACATGTAAAGCGATAAGTTACTAATTAAGTTTCAATGCACAAATGCACTATATGTGTAGATCAATTACTAATGATACATATATATTATTTGTATATGTGTATATCAATTAATATATATATATTATCATTGAGTAAATAAATTATTTAATTAAATTTTATTTTGCTTCTATTTACAGATGGCAGTCGTTTTGGCGAGAGCAGTAGCAGTCGTCTACTTCCAGACTCAAGTGTGCCATGTCCTACGGGAATGTTTCGCTGCAAAGATGGTAAATGCATCACTTCATTGTGGGTGTGTAACTATCAGAAAGATTGTGATGGTGGCGAAGACGAACAACAGTCATGTCGTAAGTACAAATTTGTTCAAAATAAAGACTGTAAGCCAAATTGCAGTAAATAACCAATTTGTGTTTTCAGCACCGCCTGAATGCGAAGCCGGACAAATCAGTTGCGGCCAATATATCTTCAATAAAACATATTGTATACCACCACATTATCGCTGTGATATGACAGACGATTGCGAGGATAAATCCGATGAAGCGCAGTGCAGTAAGTTTTTCTTGCTTTATTTCATTATTTTTTCTTCATTTTTCTTAGCATTATTATTTATACTCCTTCTGATTTGCTTTTCAAGTACAATTTTTTTTACGCCAATTTGTTATTTTTATAAATATTGCAATATTGCATGCCAAATAATATAAAATTAGTTTTTATTTTTTTGTATATTTTTATTTATATATATATATTAATGTGTCCTGCAAAATTTAGCAATGGTTTTTCTTTTTGACAATATTTACTTCCTTTTTGATACTGGTTAAACATTTGATATGAAAATAAACATGCAAGAGAAATTGAGCAAATAATTTATTGAAACGAGGAATCGAGTAGTCCTGTCGTTATAACGAAATATGGTACTATAGAAAACTATAGTATAAAATATGCCAAAGGGAAATATCGCTCCTTTTGAGTAAACTTTAAAGAAAAAAAAATGACAAAAGAGACTAGTGAACAGACAGACATGGTAGTAAATTATGTTGAGTTATGCAAAATTATCTTTCAACTACGAGGACTTTTATCTTGCCTGTTATATATTTACAATATGCCTTCATCTCTAGCAGTAAGGAAAATTGATTGCAAATTTATGACTCGTTAGTATGCATAAATTTGATATTTAATTTGACAAAAAAGAATTTAAAAGTGATTATAACAAATAATCAAATATTAAGAGTGTTTCAAAATTTCTTATGGTTGCCACACTGCAACCGATATAAAAGACTGCGACATAGACTTCTTTAAGTTTCTTATTTAAGACTTTAATAATATTTCTCTTATATATTATATGTCTTATTTATATGCTAAAGTTGAAACACTTGATTATGTCCACATTTTTCAGTGTTTTCCTCCAAATGTTAGTAAAAATGTTGCTCTAATGTCACATATCTGTCTACAGCAGCAATTATCACACCCACTTCACTAGAGACGAGTACTAAATGTATAACCAAAATTGAAAGCAATATCAACAAGCAATAAAGTAAACTTCACGTTTCATAGCCCCACAAATTTCATAGTTGGCATTGCAATTTGGCTACAATGTCAATGAAATGTCAACACTGTATTCCGCAGTGTTTCGAGCATGTCACGTAGACAAAATAAATTCTCTGGAAATGTAATTAGACAGACACTTTGCGACTATTAAAACCACTACAGAATTCGTTAAAAGCGAAACTTATTAAAATTGCATTTCAACCTTTTGTCTCCAACTTTTCTTAGCGTAGCATAAACAACTTATTAAAACAAACTTAAGTTACGTTAATTTTTTCCTTCAAAAACTGAATATCTGACATAACCGGGAAGAGTGAGTCGTGTTAAAGTTTAACTATTTAAATTTAAATCCTTAAAATAACACGCATAACTTTTTAGCCGACAAACACACACGCTTTTTGTTTCTCTGCGCATTTTTATATAGCAACAGGATATCTCTCCAGTGCTATACGCGGTCGTGTTCTATCCTTGCTCTGGTGGCTCAAGTAGCATAAAAATGTGTGAGAATTTTGTGGCAAGTTATTTGCTAAAGTGGCAAGTCACAAACACTGTAATTTAATGGGCGTACATTTTTGTGAAAATCCTAGTAAATTAGTTGGAATTTGTTAAATTTGTTTACAAGGTAAGTGCGGTAACATCTTCGCTTTCAAAATGTATATAATATAAATGTTCACTAGACCTGACATTGAGATTCATCTTAAAAGTTATTGCTGTGAAGTCAAAAAAAATAGAAATGTAGTACATATACTATAAGCTAAAAAAGAATAACAAAAATATATTTGTCTTAAAAACATTATTATTATAACAATGCATTAAAGTTTATTTGTTCAATATGCAAATGCCACTAGCAACTTAAAAGATAAATTTCGATACATTGTAGTTATCTTATTATTATTACATATTATTATACTTAGTACTATCTAATCTTAGAGTAATCACTCTCCGCACGGGGAGGTACGCAAATCTTAGATCAATCACTGAATAATCATGAAGCTTATAGGGTATACATGAAATAGTCAATGAGATGGATGGGACCCTGTAGTACCCCCAGCTATCAAAGAGTAAAAGTGCCTAGTTGCGCTGACTCGAAAAAAGGATCAACATACATACATACATTATATAAAACTTTAAATCTAAAAAATATTTATAATAATTTTGATATTAATACGAAGTATACCGAAATTTCTGTATTATAAATATTATTTAAAAATGTTATAATATATAATTAATTATAATAAAATATAAATATAACTATAAATATAATGTTAACTATATACACGTTATATAGTACCCTAATAATGACTATAGAATATAGTCGATATATAGGTTTAAATAAAATCTTTTAAAAAACAATAAATTTTTTTTAAAATGTATTATTTAACTATCAAGGAAACTAATCAACCTATCCCGGGCAAATATATCTAAGTTAATAGGAAGTAATTATGTCTTAATGTTCCCCTGGGAATGTAATGGAATGAAGAAGAAGTATGAATTATTACGGTACACTGCCCGTTAGGAGGACATACCGTGAGGTTCAATATCAATATGCACTGTAAAAATTACATGGTGGATGACGAATAGGAATTACTAATACACCTTCTGTTACAGTATCCTGCTATCGCAAGGCATAAACTCTCCTATTTAGGGTCCGACATTTTCAATTCATTAAGGTAAATTCTATTCCCCTAGCTCGTGTCAAGGGCTTTGTGGCCAGTACTGAATAGTTATAGTGACAGGTGTTAAATTCTTAAGGGTATCACAATGGACCTCATGGTCTACGTGCATCTTCGGACGGTCTCTAACCTAACCAATTATTTAACTATTGAGCAACTATTTTTATGTGTTAAATAAACGACGTAAACCCGGCAAAAAACTTATTGATAAACAAATAATTATAAATATGGTATGCAATAGTTTTAAGCGTAAGTTAACTGTTTAAGATAATGCCATATACTTTGCCATTGAATCAAATAATTTAATAACGAATGAAATCTCCTTAACTGTTTAAGATAAGTCCATAGTCCATACCTTAGCTTTGAGTCAAATCATATAATAATCATTTTCTCAATTGATATCAAATTTATTAAATTGATTTAGACTGAATTAAGGTAATTCTTTTGAGATTTTACAAGAATTTATTTTCCAAGTTCTACATTAAGTAATATAATTAAACACAATATATTTACTACTAAAATGTACAATAATATGTTGTAAAAAAAAAGCAAGCAATCATCTATGAAATTAACTTTTGGATGACTGATTTATAACAATAATTTTTATTAAATTTGTGGCTTCGTTCATGTTTTATTTATTTTTATTACTAACCAAAAATAACTAATCAGAAGGGATATACATACATACAGACACCTTAAGAATTACACACTACAATGTTTTTATTATCCCAGTTGGAAACGGAATGCTCCTTCAACGAAAAGAAAGGATTTTTGAACAAATGAGTTAAACGTCTTGACTGATACTTTCACATATCGTAAATATTGCCCAAAGTAGCTATCTGTCTTTACTGAAACTCTTACCGAATGGTCGTAACGGGGACATCGGAATCATATCAGAGTCCATCTTAACATTAGTTAAATAGATATTTCAAGACACTACGTGTCTTGGCTTTAATAATAATAGACTCAACGTTTAAACTTTTATTCAGAAGATCCCATAATAATAAAACTTCGTTTCCTTTTTTTCGATACTATAAATAACGTGAAAATTTTTAGGTGACAATTTTGGTTACTCAACTGGGTAGGCCAACGTTCTAGAATCACTTGTCTATGATGACGAAGTAGCACTCTTCATTTTTGTTGGAGTTTCACTGTTTGAATAGAATATTTGTAAAGCTATTTAAGTGGAATGAATTACAACAAAAACAATGACAGTTTTATATTTTTCGCAATAAATAGATCTACCCAAATCTTACTTTTACTAAATGTAGAAAATTATAAAAATTAACTTCAAGTATATATACTCGCATATTTATTACATAAAATAGAATAGTATAGAAATAAAAAGCGACCCGGCTCCTGACAGAGCGGAGTTCCGCGACCATAGTTGATCTTTTGTGCTGCTACAGACCCTAACCGAACAGAAGACATTCCGTCTTTCGAATAAAAGGCAAAATGTCAGCCGATTAGAACCTCCTAATGTCAGAAAATGAAATTCATTCTCGACTCAATTACCTCTTCCTGACCCAGATCAAAGCTAGACAGTCACAGAGAATGTGACTAGATATATTATCTTCAACATCATTCCAGTACGTTCCCAGGGAAACATAGGGCCATAACAAACTTTTTCCAACTGTCACGATTTCTTGACAGGATTTTAATTTCTCCAAAGGTTTTTCGCTTGCTTAGGTTTCTTTCTCTAGATATATTAATGAAATATTAAAATATTTAAATCATATACTTAATATTTTCTTATAGTTAATGTTATACTTGTAAAATTAAACTACTAAAACACACAGAATGCAGGTGTATAATGAAGTTTTTTAATATGTACATACAGATGTAAAGTATTTTCCAGTGCATATATTAGCAAAAACATATTTATCTTTATACTAGTATCTATCTTAACTATGTATTTACCACCTCTATTTGATCTATTATAGTAATTTTATTTTATTTTGTTGTTGTTGTTTTTTAATTCCCAACTGTTATGATGACAAAAAACTTTAAGCAGTTTTACTTATAATTTTGGGTTTTATTATAAATTTTTTGTATGTTTGTTTTTCTACTTTATACTACGAGTATGCATAATTCCTACAAACTTCTAGAAAGTTTTTTATTTACTTTAAGTTCGTTGGATGACATCAAACTTATTTAAATTTCCTACGCATTGCTACGCAATCATATGCAGTTGCACTTAATTGTATAAAGTAAAACAAAAAACTCTTTCGGTTTTCTTAGTAAACTTATGTTTTGCAAATGTCATATAAGGAGGCAAAAGGATCTGTAGGAAAACTTTTAATGCTGGCTTAGGAATTAAATTGTACCAACATG